ATATCCCATGTGATATTTGGGACTTATTCATAGTTTTATCTGAAGTTCAAATATACCCGAGGATCTATATTTTTATTTGCCAAATCTAGCAACCTTAGTCTTGTTCCAGGTCAAATAGCTTATGAGCCAAAAAAAAAAAAAAAAAAAAAGCTAAGCATCAACCTCAGATCTTTAAACCCCAAGGTCATCGAGCATCCTGCTCCATCACAGGCATGACCTTGAGATTAGCTGAGTCACAGGGCAGCCCTGGGTTCACAACCCAATTGCAGCTTCAAAAACCAATGCAATTTGATTTTCTAAAACCCACTTCATACCTTAAAAAGATCTAAAGTGATCGTGAAAATAAAATGTAAAGACAACACACAAACGAATGCTTATATGTCACATATGTGTCACATATGTATATACATATGTATAAAGCCTGTAAAATCAAAACTGAGTATGAAAATAAATGAAAAAACTACATGCAAAGAAATACTTGAACATATATTAAATATGTGAATCCAATCTCTAAAAGCAATGTGCCTTTATTTACTTTCATTTTTATTGATTTTTAGAGAGAAAGAAAACATCGATTTGTTGTTCTACTTATTTATGCATTCATTGGTTGGTTCTTGGGTAGGCCCTGACTGGGGATCAAACCCACAACCTTGTCATATCAGGATGACACTCTAGCCAATTGAGGTACCCGGCCAGGGCCAGTAGTGTGCTTTTAAAACTTTTTTTCTGTCCCTGGCTGGCGTAGCTCAGTGGATTGAGCGCAGGCTGTGAACCAAAGCATCGCAGGTTCAATTCCCAGTCAGGGCACATGCCTGGGTTGCAGGCCACGGCCCCCAGCAACTGCACATTGATGTTTCTCTCTCTCTTTCTCCCTCCCTTCCTGCTCTAGAAATAAATAAAATCTTTAAAAAAAACTTTTTCTTCTGCCTGATCTGGACCAACACACAAGTCCAGTGGAGTTCACACTAAGTGACAGCTAACTGTACTGTGTGCCTATCATTGACCGGGTAACCTTTTAAGCACTTTATGTGTACTGACTTTTTAAAAATTGAAATATAATTCATGAAACATAAAATTTACCATTTAAGTGTACAATTCAGTGTTTGTTTTTTTTTTACTATATTCACAAGGTTGTACCACCATCACCACTATCTAGTTCCAGAACATTCCCATCACCCAAAAAGAAGCCTCGTTCTCATTAGCAGCTGATCCCCACTGCCCTCCTCCCCCTGCCCCCAGCACACGATGATCTGCTCCCCATCCCTGTGGATCTACCTATTCTGGACGCTTCATATCTATGAAGTCATACAATACGTGGCCTTTCACGTCTGGTTTCTTTCGCTTAGCAAAATGCTTTTAAGGTGCATCCGTATAACAAGTATCTGTACTTCATCTCTTTTTACTGCTGAATAATATCTCACTGTATAACTGTATCACACTTTATTTAGCCATTCATCAGTTGGCTATTGGGTTGTTCCCACTTTGTGACTATTATGAGTAATGCTGGTGGGAACATTTGTGTACATGTTTCTGGTTCTCTTAGGTGCGTCCCCAGGAGTGGGTGGCTGGGTCGTGCGGTAAGTCTGTGGTCGACTCTTTGAGAAACTGCCGGACTGTTTTCCGCAGCAGCTGCACCAGTCTGCGTTTCCACCATCTACACACAAGGGTTCCAGTTTCTCCACATCCTCACAGACATTTCTCATTTTCCTGTTTTGAAAAAAGTACAAGTGCCCTGACTGGTGTAGCTCAGTGGATTGAGCACGGGCTGCGAATTAAAGCATCGCAGATTCGATTCTCAGTAGGGTACATGCCTGGCTTGCAGGCCATGGCCCCCAGCAACTGCACATTGATGTTTCTCTCTCTTTCTCTCTCCCTTCCCTCTCTAAAAATAAACAAATAAAATCTTAAAAAAAGAAAAAAGAAAAAAGTACAAGTATTCCAGTGGGTGTGGAGTAGTTTTGATTTGTATTTTCTTTTTCAGATTTTATTTGCTTTTACAGACAGGAGAAGGGGAGAAACAGAGGGGAAGAAACATCATTGTGTGGTTGCCTCTCATGTGCCCCCACAGAGGACCTGGCCTGCAACCCAGGCATGTGCCCTGACTGGGAATCGAACCAGTGACTACTTGGTTCACAGGCTGGCGCTTAATCCACTGAGCCACACCAGCCAGGGTTGATTTGCATTTTCTTAATGGTTGTAATGATGTCAGCAGTTTTTCATGTGCTTATTGTCTCTCTGTATATCTTCTTTAGAGGAATGTCTATTCACACCCTTTGCCCATTTAATCGGATCATTTATCTTTTTTGTTGTGTTGTAGGCATTCTTAATATAAACTGGATATGAAACCCTTATCAGAGGCAACATTTGCAAATATTTTCTCCCATTCTGTGGGGTTTCCTTTCACTTTCTTGACAGTGTCCTCTGATGCACAAGTTTTGAATGTCGATGAAATCCTATTTATATATTCTTACCTGGTTGTTTTAGTTATGTGTGCTAACTTTGTGAATATTCACAACCACCACGAGGTAGAGAATATCGTTAGCACCCCCATTGTACAGATGAGGAAACCGAGGCATAGAAATGCCAGGTAACTTGCCTGAAATCAGGCAGCCGACAGGAGACAGGGCTGGCTTCTGAGCACCAGCACTCACACTCACAACTCCGGTGCTCCGTCTGGGGTGCAGGAGCAGGTCCTCGAATTGTCGCTGGACCTTCAGACCCTGTTCAAGCAGGACTGCCTGTGTGACAGTTTTTATACCGCATTTTGTAGTGTTTATAAATTAATCTGAAGGGTCAGTGTGGGGTCCTGGGGGAGGGACATTTCCATGGCAACTTCCTCAGTGATCTAAAGCAGCCTCCACAGCTGAAGCTCTGCTTGCTTCACCCCCATTGGTGCTGCCAAGACACTTAGAAAGGGTGTCTGGCCTCTTGCTGGGGTTTGAATCCCTAGTAAAAAGGTCAGCAAAGCAAGTGAGGCCTGTGTAAGTTCGTCAGGTTCAAGGGCAAGGGTTCAGCCCCAGGCTGGGTCGGGGACAACAGGAATGGAGGTAAGGAGGGGTAAGGTCTGGGGAAGGATGAGGAGCAGTGGGCAGCAGGAGAGACCTGATCCGGGGGTTTGGGCAGAGGACAGGTGCGTGTTGGGAGGGTGTCCCAGGGGTCAGGGGTCCGGAGGGAGGTGGGGGTGGTTCCTCCCTGCAGAGGTCAGCCTCCTGAGGAATGGGACCATTCCTGTCCGACCTGACTGGGAAGAGCCTGTGGGAGGCGTCCCCCGCCGAGGGGTTGCCCTATCTGGAGGCTGTCAGTCTGCCCCGTGGCACACACCCTCCCGGCTACCTGGGAGGTGGCAAGTTCTACACTGGGCCGGGGCGGGGGGAAATTTTCCAGAAGCCCAGGGTTACCTACTGCCAAGTTTCAGCATCACAGGGACACAAGTTTCTGTTGTGTCAGGCACCAGGAATTCCTGCTTGGGACCTGCCTTCTTTAGAGCTAGCGTGCCCAGGGCACTGTGTATCACAACGGAAACACTAATGGTAATAAGCACCGCATTTGTCAAATGTGCGGTTTTTTTGGTGCCAGGGACTGCACTAGGCTCTTTCCATCCACCCATCCATCTATTCATCCACCCATCCATCCATCCAGTTTGTTCAAGTTAATTAAGAAGTCATTAAGACTTTAATTGGCTAAATAAAGAGCTTAAATGTGCACACAACACAATTATTAGTAAACAAATATTTAATGGAGAATGCTTAATCTGGTTGGTAAACTTTAAAATGTAAATTAAAACAAGGTACCACTTATACATTAGACTTTTTCTAAACTCTACTTTTATAGACATACCTGTGTGTACATTTAGAGAAAAGGCCTGGGAAGGATACACACAGTGGCAGAGCCGCCTGATTGCCTCAATATCTGTTCTCCCCCCTTTTAATGAACCGTCCCTTCTACTGTGGGAGCTTGGCACGGGGGGTGGGGGGGGGGGCAGCAACGTGCTCAGTTTAAAAACTACACTTCCCAGCCTCCCCTATGGAAAAGGGTGGCCAATTAGAAGCAAGCTGATGCCAAGGGGCAGGGGGACTTTCGAGGAAGCTCTTTAGGTGGGGATGATTTACCACTGTTGCCCCTCCAGCCTTTCTCCTTCTTACTGCCTGGAATGCAGACGTGATGGCTGGAGCTCCAGGGACTATATTAGCCCAGAAGGAGGCCTCAGGGATGCACGCTGTAAACCGAGGATGCAGAACATAAAGATGGAAGCCTGGGTTCTTATGACCAATGAGCATAGGGCCACCCTACTAAAGCACCTGAAATGCTTTGTCCAGACTTCTGTGTTGGACAAGAGTAAATTTATTTGTTTAGGCTTAATGTTACTTTGATTTCGTCATATGCAGTTATGCCTAAACTTAACTGATACCTCAGACCTCTGAGGAAGCAAAACTCTCGCACTTTACTTCCTATGCGGTGGTATTGCCTGCATGTATTCTCACTACTGTTTACAATAAGAAGGTATTGGGGTATTATTTGTAGGAGCCTCTGTTTGGGAGCCCCAGGGAACTCAAGGTGAGTGCCAGCCCCACCACCTCCTAGCTATGTGACCTTGAGCAGTCATTCTCTCTGAGCCCATTTTGTCATCTGCAAAATGGGCATGATAATAATAGAACTTACATCACTGGGCTGTGGTGGAGTTTACATGAGCTAATTCAGACAGCATTCTTGGTACGTGCCTGGCTTACAGTGATGACTGTTTGTGCTACATTATGCCAGCATGTGGGCCCTGGTGGTGGCAGAACCAATTAGAGAAGCCCAGGGCGTGTTGTTGAATGGAGGAGGAAAAAAACCAACCAGGTTGCAAAAGTGGAACATACGTATGATCCCTTTTGTGAAAAATTATCTTTATTTCTACATCTCTATGTATATTCATGCATCAGGAGATGTCTGGAGGGACAGTTATCCAAATGTTAGTGATGGTAATTTCCAGGTAGGGGAATTTCTCTCTTTTCTATATATAGTTGTAAAGCAGAAAAGCACGTTATAATTTTTGAGCAAGAAAATATAAAAAAGAAAAACCCTTTGTCAAACACTATTCCAAGACACAGCCAGAATTATTAGAGCACTCATGCCCTTTGACCCAGCTATCTCACTCTTGGGGGCCAATCTGAGGAAATGACTCCAATGAGGGAAGCCGCTGTGTCCATAAAACAGGCACTGCAGCATTATTTATAATGGAGGAAAACGGGGGCCCACTTAAGCGACTCACATTAGGGTAATAATCATTACATTATTCACTCATTGGAACACTGTGCAACGATTTAAATGAGCAAGATGATGGCCATGTAACGACACGGAAAATCGCTTATGGCAGGGCGAGAGGCGGAGCGGGCGGCCTGCGAAACGGCTTCTGTGCCAGGAGCACTAACGGGCAGAGACCCTGCACGCATCTGGACGAGGGCTGGAAGGGAACACGAGCAAAGAAAAACAGTTTAATTTGTAGGGGCCGCTGATCGTGGGTGACTTTCTTTTCCTTTTGAATTCTAATGTTTCCATAATGTTGTTTGTGTAATAAAAAAAAATTGGCTTTAAGAATCTCCGCAGGGAAAAGAAGGGGGAGCAGGGAGAGGGAAATAGAAGGGAGAGCTGGGACCCTGCCAGAGGGGGGGTCTGGGTAAGAGAGAATCAGGGGCAACACACCGGCAAATACCGCGAGTCTGGTCTTGTGCCAGGTGGCCGCAGAGCTTGCATCCCCTTTGCTCTCTGACTTGAGTGATCGATGGACAAAATAATTGCCAAAGTTAGGGAGGCAGTGTGTCAGCTCATGATGGAGCTAAGAGTGCTCTTCAGATTGGAATCATTTGGAAAAATGGATCGCGCTTGCTACTGACAAACATTTTAGAGAAATGAGAACACTAGCAAGCTAGCAAGAGGGTGAGCTGCTTCCCAGAGGGCAGCTGGTATTGGGTACCCAACCAAAGGGGGGGGTGTCCTCGGTCAGCAACCCCACCGTGGGGGATTTATCCTAAGCCTAAGGAAGTGCTTGAGCCACTGCATAAAAATATTTGCATGCGATGTGCATCACGGAGTTTGTAAAAATAAAAAATTAAACCCTCAGTTTCACCAAAAAGGAATGGGTAAATTTTGGCACAACCATGCCATGGTACCTTATGAAGCTACACTAAAAAAATGGTATGTAGGTGGAGGGAGGGGAGTAGAAGGAAACTAAAAGGTAATATACAAAAGAAATCACAATGAAAAAAGATTTTTTAAATAAAATAAAAAATAGGATGTAGATATAAATTGGACACGAAAGGATGCCTGCCACATATTAGCTAGGACAAGAAGGCCCCGAAGAAAGATGCAGGTTAACCTCATTTTTGGGAGACTGTATAGTCAAATGTGTTCATTTGCACGTAAGGATTTTTGCTCATACACCAGCATCTTAACAGTGATTAGTCTTTGAATGGTGGGATTACAAATTGTATCAGTCCGTGTAGTCTCAGTTGTGCTGCAGTAACAAAGAACCTCGGATCTACTGGTTCACAACAGTGAGTGGGAATGTCTCTCCCCTGCCCGGTGTCTCTACTCTAGGGCCGGGCTGAGGACACAGTCTCTGTCTGAACATCGCGGTCTCCGTGGCGGAGAGAGAGAAGACGGTGGACCCCCTCCTGGCTCTTACAGTTGGGGCACGCGAGTGAGTCTCTTGGCCTTCCCAGATTCAACCAGGCAGGGACAGACAGTCCCCCACAGGCCCTCAGGAAGGGGCATTGCAGGAAGGGTGGTGAACGTTTTGAACGAGAATATGACCTACTACACAAACCATCCTTGTCTTAGTCCATTTGGGCTGCTGTAACAAAGATACCATCAACTGGGTGGCTTAAACAACAAACGTTTATTTCTCACAGTTCTGGAGGCTGGGAAGTGCGAGAGCAAGGTGCCGGCAGATTCGGTGTCTTCTCTCCGTGTCCTCACAGGAGGTGCGGGAGCTCTCTGAGGTCTTTGTAAAAAGGGCACGAATCCCATTCATGAAGGCTCCATCCTCGTGATCGAACCACCGGCCACAGCTCCACCTCCCAGTACATCAGCTTGGGGGTGAGGTTTCCACGTACGAATTCTGGGGAGCACAAACATTCCGTCTACAGCAATGTTATCATTTAAGTCCTTCTCTTCGCAGAATGCGGTTCTGTCCAGGGAACTGGATGGTCTCACAGAGATGGGACACGTGGGTCCCCGTTGTTCAAGCCTCTTCAGGGGAGAAGACAGGGGAGAAGGCACTGAGTCTGAGCTACCCAGCACTGGGGCGAAATGGCAGCTTCAAGCCTGAGGCCTAGGGGCCAGAGAGAGGCAAGGGTTTTGACTGATTTTGGAGACAGGTCATGTCGACCTGGACCCACGGCAAGTATAATGATGTAACAGAAAGTTCTGGATGCCCAGAACTTGAGTCAAGTTAGAGCCTGTTGAATGCAGAATGAAAATGACAATAGCCGCCCTGCCTACTGCACGTTACGTGGTGGGGCGGTGGGGTGGGGGGCTCAATCTTGGCTCTAAAATTGTTAGTGCTCTTGCAGGAGGAAGGTTTGGTCCTTCAAGCTGTGACCGCACACTTAGCGTATTACATTTTCCCAATTTCTCTCATCACCAGAGTAGCTTGATTCCCCTCCTTTTAATTGTGTTCCTGAGTTTTTTTAGTAGGGCAGGTGAAAAATGACCATTGAAATCTCAGTACGGAGGGTCCCGTTGAAGGACGAGCTGTGGGAGAAGGGCTAGACGCAGAGGGAGGTAGCTGTGTAGCTCCGTCCCCTCATCCCTCCTGACCCCAGCCCGTCACAGTGGGAGGCAGACAATGATCAGAGCCATTTATGAAGCCTTTAAAAATGAGATTCCTGGGGCGTGATGAGTGTGGCTCAGTCGGTTGGGCATTGTCCCGCAAAGTGAAAGGTCGCCAGTTCGATTCCAGGTCAGGGCACATGCCTGGGTTGTGGGTTTGGTCCCCAGTAAGGGTGCATACGAGAAGCAACCAATCGATGTTTCTTGCTCATATTGACCATTCTCTCCCTCTTTTTCTCCCTCCCTTCCCCCCTCTCTAAAAGCCAATAAATAAAATCTTTAAAAAAAATTAAATTCCTGGGCTCCACCTCCAGGAGATTCTCACTCACCTGCAGAGAGTGGGGCCAGGCTGAGCCACAGAAGCGGGTCCGTGCCACCCCCACCTGGCCCTGGCTCCAGGCCAGGCAGTCGGCCCAGGCCCGGTGAACAGGGAGCCTGGGTGTCTCGGGTGGCATGAGCCCTGGCCGCTGGGGGAAACCCGAGCGGGCCCAGGTTATCTGATGGCGCACTCGCTCCAGCCCCGTGCTCACTTCTTGAATATCAAGACGAGGGGAAGGCTTGGGGACAGGCTGCCCTGGGCAGCACAGGCCACCCTGCAGGCTGCCCCACGGCCAGAGGAGGTTGTAAGAGAAACGTACTCCTCCTTTCCGCTCCCAGCCCCTCAGCACCAGACGCGCTGCAGCCTTCCGCAGTCCGCACGCTCATCCCTACCGATAACCCTGAAATCTAACTCTTTCCACATCCGTCAGCGTGGCGGTGAGTTCCTCGAGGGCCGGGGCAGGTCTTGTTCCCCTGTGCGCGCCCTGCACGGTGCCTGGCACACCAGCAGTGCCTGCTGAATATTGCATGAATAGATGAGAGGTAGCAACACTTACTACGTTACCTTGGGTCACAGGAGGACTGACATTCACACCCACTAGGCACACGGGAAATGCACGTGCTCACTTCTTAGGGGCGGGGGAACCCTAGCGGCAGTGGCCCAGCCAGAGGCTGAGTTGTGCATGCCCTGAATTGCAGGTACACTAAATTACTTTGGTGTCATGGTACCCTTAGATGTGAAAAATTATGAAGCCTTTCCACAGGAAAACGGCTTTCTCTCTCACGTACACACACACCCTGCATACAATTTCTAGGTGAAGAGTATCAGCCCTTCAAAAAGGGAAGGCTCTTTCGACGTGGATGAATGCCAATTAATGAACGCAGTCGGAGTGACAAGAGTCAGAAACTAACATTTTGCAGCCCTCAAACCCATCTCGGGTGGGTTTTGCAGCCCTCGAATCCATCAGACGAGGATTACGGATAGATGCTAAAATCATTGGGTAAATAATTGTCAGGGAATAAGAGGGCATCTCAGCCTAAATTAAGCCTCTTACCCGCAAATCAGGATTCCGCACTCCATGAAGGAACCCGGGCAAAGGAGAGGACAGTAGTTAAGACAGGCTCCAGACCGTCTTATTAGGCTATTTAAATAAAACCAGGTGACCATGGCTGGCAGTAAAAGGCCAGGGGAGAATTATCAGGCTCTGGGTCTTTTCGGAATCCTTCTCCCCTCTCTTTTTCCTGCTTGCCCCGCCCCCTCCACCTTCACTCTCTCAAGGGAAAGGCCGCAGGGAGAGGGTGTTGGGGGAGGAGACCCAGGAGGATCTGAGAGGCTCCTGACACCCCAGACAGATCCTGGTTGCCGAAGGCTTGCTCTGACCTCCCACTGTGCTCAGAGTCCGGCAGGCCGCTGTGCTGGACGCACACACGGCCCGCCAGCACCCCTCAGCCCCTTCTGTGCTGTGGGGGCTGGAAGCCCGAGAGCACGATTCCTCCGAGCCTCTCGCCAGCCAGGACTGGCTTTAAGGCCACGAGTGAGAGGCACCTGCAGAAACCATCACTGCTCCTCTGGCCGTGGAGGGCGCACCTGCTGCCAGTTCTCAGACCAGAAAGGCCCTCCCACCCACCTCACCGTAGGTGGTCCATCCCCCCCAGGAAGCCAGGCCCGAGCACTGAGCAGAACAGAGATAGCGTGCCTGCTGGGAGAGACGTCTGAAGTGTCAGCCCAGCCCCAAGCCCACCTGGGATGCAGGACATCGGTCATCCTGGCACAGGGGAGGGGGTTTTCTGCCGCCAGGCCTCTTGGAGTCGAGGTAGAAGGGTCAGCAGCAGAGAGTCCAGCACAGCCAGGCCTTCCCAGGAACACCGGAGACCCCTGGAAAACCACGAGGCCTGCGTGTGTGACTGCCTCATCTTGCCAATTTCAACGCCTACTGTCTACCAGTGCCAGCGCCACCCGCAGGCCCCTCCTCATCGGTCTTTCTCGCTTCTCCCAGGTGTGCGATCTGTACAGTCAGGGCTTCCCGGGACTCCTAGCCACCCCCCTCACCGCCAACACACCTGCGATCCAGCAGCAACAGGCCCTGCTGCAGCAGTGCGTCCACCTCCTCACTTGCTCCAAACACGTCCCACAGGGTCAGCTGGGGCTCAAACTGCTGCCAGTGCTGGGGCGACCGGAAGGGTCAGAGGTGCAGGGACCACAGGGTAGGCAGCTGGGGGGGGGGCTACCCTGGGCCATGTGCCCGGGGGTGAGGTGGGGGTGAGGAAGGGTCCGGGACAGGGCTCTCAGTCAACTGACTCTCACTCACACCAGGCCCAGGCTGGCGGAGCAGCAGGGATGTGGGCGCCTTTGCTCCGCGTTCAGGCCGGAACCCAGCTCCCAGCCAAGCCAGGGCTCCCTTGGTTCCTCCCCCACCGCCACCCCCACTGCTCAGTGTAGGGTTAGGGCTTTACAGCCCTGACTTCATCCAGAGCAGCTCTAAGTTTGACTGATCATCTACTGCACCGCCTAGCTGAGTGTTCAGTGTGACTTAAAAACCTTTGAAAACCCTTCATCTAGTCTCTTCCTCCACATAGCTGAGGAAACTGAAGCCCAGAGAGGTGAAAGGGTATGAGCCCCAGGTTGCAGGAGAAGGGGACTAGGCCCTGGGTCTCTGCAGCCCTGGGTTCTCTCCATTGCACCACACTGCCTGTGGATTCTGCCCATCAGGCTGACTGAAGCCCACCCTCCAGCTGCCACCCCCAGAGGAACAGGAGGAAAAGGGTGCGCGCGCGCATGTGTAAAGAGAGAGAGAAATGATTATGTGCAGCGTAGGAGGCAGCAGTGTGCCAGAGCCCCTGGGCCCCTTACCTGGTGAGTGATCCCCACGTCTGTGCGTAGCCCCATTGCCAAAACTTCCTCCAGCCTGAAAGGAAAACCATCACAGGATCTTGGAGAAGAGACCTGTGCTTCTCCCAGTCTTCAAGCCCCACGCTGGGATGTGTGAATGGGGGGCTTACAAGGATCGTGCAGTATGGGGCATGGCAAGGCAAGAAACGAAAAGGTGCATGTGCAGGTGGTTCTGGGGGTGCGGGGGAACACCGGGGGTGCGGGGGAACACTGGGGGGTGTGGGGGACACCGGGGGTGTGGGGGACACCGGGGGTGCCGGGGAACACTGGGGAGTGCAGGGGGACACCGGGGGTGCAGGGGGACACCGGGGAGTATAGGGGAACACTGGGGTACAGGAGACACCAGGGGGTGCAGGGGACACCAGGGGGTGCGGGGGACACCGGGGGTGCGGGGAACACTGGGGGGTGTGGGGAACACTGGGGGGTGTGGGGGACACCGGGGAGTATAGGGGAACACTGGGGTGCAGGAGACACCAGGGGGTGCAGGGGACACCAGGGATGCAGGGGACACCGGGGGTTGCAGGGAACACTGGGGGAAGGGTCCTGTGCCCTCAGATGCTCACAGCTCCAGGTTGCCCAGCGGGGAGTGCTTCCGGGTACCGTGACCGAACAGCATCACCTCCTTCATCCAGCTGTCAGGCTCCAGGGTCTGGATCCGTGCCTCCCGAGCAAGGCCCCCAGCCCCCTGGGGTATAAACCGCCCATGGGCCCCTGGTAACAGCAACGACCACACCCACTTCAACATTAGCTAGTGCTGCGTGCCTGTCAGTGTTAGGTCAGTGGTTCCCAAGGGGCCAACAGCATCTAATATACTAGAAATGAGCTCTTGGGCCCTCCCCCCGGCCCCGCACAATCAGAAATTCTGGAGGCAGGGCCCCACCATCGGGGTTCTGACAAGCACTCCAGGTAATTCTGACATGTGCTAAAGGCTGAGAACCGCAGGGCCAGCCCACCATTATTAAGCACCTCAAAATACATACTCAACGGCTCTAAGGCACCTTTCCCTCCCTCCCTCCCTTCCTTTTCTTTGCCACACCTTAGTTATCAGGAAACAGAGGCTTAGAGAGATTAATAAATGGCTCAAGATCACACAGCCATGACATTCCACTCCTGAGTCACTCAGCCCTTCCATGGTTCACAGGGGACTCACCAGGCCCAACACCAATGTACTGACCACACTGCCAGTAGGTCCAATTGTGGGTACTAAGCGCCCCCTGTGGGGAGGGAGGGAATAGTCAGTGCAGAGCAAAGCTGGTAGCCCCTGTTGCAGCTCAGGTAAGGAGCTCCTGGTTAGAATGTCCCCCCACCTCAGGCTTTAAAGCACCCACCAGAGACCCTTCTCCCCACGGGGCCACTTTCCCAGCTCACACCTTAGCCTGACCACTCCCCACCTTCAGCCGTCGGCCCCAGGACTTACATTCCGGGCGAAGTTGGAGACCTCATACTGGCGGAAGCCAGCCTCCCGAAGAACAGCCCGTCCCTCCTGGTACATCTCAGCAGCGAGCTCGGGGTCTGGGGCAGGAAGGGCGCCCTGCTGCACCTGGGTAAAGAGGGCAGTGCCCCGCTCCAGGGACAGCTGGTAGAGGGAGATGTGGTCGTCGCAGTGGCGCAGCAGGTCCTCCAGCTGCCTGAGCCACGGCCCTACCTGCTGCGCCGGCAGCCCCAGCATCAGGTCCACAGACACGCGCCCGGGGAACAGGCCCCGGGCCTCGGCCAGTGTCCGCAGAGCATCGCTGGCCGAGTGTGTCCGCCCCAGCAGCTGGAGCTCGGTGTCATCCAGGGACTGCGGAGAGAGGGCCGGGGGTAAGCGCCCGGGGCAGCTCAGGGGGAAACAAAAACACCTGACTGAGCCAACTGTGGACACAGATACAAGTGAAAATGCAGGGCGTGGCAGGCAGCCGGAAGGCGGAGGGTCAAGCCCATACGAAGGGTGTACCATTCATCAAAGGGTGGCTACGCGCCAAGCATTTCTATGCGATGCCTAATTCATCCTCATAACCCCCAACAGTCGTTCCATTTCACAGATGAGAACACTGACTTTCAGAGATGTTACAGAACTTGCCCAAGGGCAGACCGTGGCAAAGGCAGACCAGAAATTTAGGACTGTCTGGCCCCAAGGCCAAGAGTCTTTTTTAATTTTACTTTTTATTTTGAAATATTTCAAACCTATAGAAAATGTGAAAAGATATTCCAATAAACACCTTCATCTAGATTCAACAAGTAACATTTTGCTACATTTGCTTTGTCTCTCTATAAATACACACAGGTATTGATGTAATACTGAATCATACATCATACTAATAGTTGTACAGAACAGCACTGTCCAAAAGAACTTTCTGTAATGATGGGAACAGCCTACACCTGCACTGTCCAATACAGTAGGCATTAACCACATGTGGCTATTTAAAGTTTAAGATAAATTTAAATAATCACATTCCAACTGTTTACTGGCATGTGGACAGTGCAGATGCAGACCATTTTAATAGAATATGGTAGCCACTGGCCAGATTTGCAAACTGGTTGTTTAAAAAATTTTCAAAAGTCCTGGCTGGCGTAGCTCAGTGGATTGAGTGCGGGCTGCGAACCAAAGTGTCGCAGGTTCGATTCCCAGTCAGGGTACATGCCTAGGTTGCAGGCCGTGATTCCCAGCAACCGCACATTGATGTTTCTCTCTCTCTCTCTCTTTCTCCCTCCATTTCCTCCTTCCTCTCTCTCTCCCTCCATTTCCTCTCTAAAAATAAATAAAATAAAATCTTTAAAAAAAGATTTTATCTTTTTTTTAATCTTTTTAAAAAATTTTTATTTATTTTTAGAAAGGGGAAGGGAGGGAGAAATAGATGGAAAGAAACATCAGTGTGTGGTTGCCTTTCGCACGCCCCCTACTGGGGACCTGGCCGGCAACCCAGGCATGGGCCCTAGACTCGGAATCGAACCAGCGACTCTTTTGGTTCACAGGCCAGCACTTAATCCACTGAGCCACACCAGCCAGGGCTGGTTGTTTAAATTTAATGAACTTAAATATTGTATCCTTTCACCCCTAAATACTTAAGTGTGCACTTCCTAACAAGGACATCTCTTACATAACCACCATCCAATTATAGCATTCAGGAAACTGATACACTGATACAATGCCATTATCTAACACATAGTCATTCAAATCCGGTCAGCTGTCCCACAACATCTACTGTAGTGGTTTCCTCCCACCGCACCCCAGAGTCCCACCGGGGGTCACACACTGAACGGAGCTGCATCGTCTCTCCAGTCTTTTAGTCTAGATCCTCAGCCTTTCTTTGTCTTTCATGACATTGGTGTTTTTGAAGAATAAAGGCCAGGTGTTTTTCAAAATGTGTCTTAATGAAGAAATCCTAGAGATCAGCAGATCTCTAGACACATCACTGTCTTCATACTTAACACATGTTTCGTGTACACTGTACACTAAAGACTTGGTAAGAGGTTATATCAGTCTTGTTGCCTGTTCTGACCACACACACGAGGAGTCTCTGCAGTTAGGTTTGCCTGAGGTTTCCTCACGACTAGATTCAAGAAATGTGGGGCCAGACCATTTCAGAAATGGTGTGTCCCTTTCTGAATGTCCCGTCAGGACCAGGCTCTGAGCCCAGATTCTATGGTGAGCGGTACGCGTGTTGGCAGTGGGGAAAGCAATACTGGATATGAAAGCACCAGGGGTCAGCCCGAGAGGAATATATTTCTACCTACTTAAAAACCTTTAATGGCTCCCCTGTCACCACCGGGCAAAACCCAAACTCCCTAGCAGGGTGCTGAAGGCTTCCTTATTTCCATCCGCTTTAGTCATGACGAGTGACTCACAGCTCCCCCAAAACATGCAAGCCTCTTCCATATCCTGTGTCTTTTCCTCCCACACCCTCTCCCCTGGTGAACTCACCTCCTCATTCAAACATCACCTCTCCAGGAAGGTCTCCGTGATTTCATCAGACTGAGATGCCCTTCAGTCTGTACTCGGAAGGCCTTCTGTAGAGCCCCCTATACCACGCTGCAATGTCCTGACTACATGTTCGCCTCCTCCTGTCTCTCCAATCATGTAACAAATCTTTTCTGGGCATGTGCTGTGTGCCAGGCACTATGGTGGGTGCTTGGAATTCTGTGATGAACAAAAAGGCACCCACGATCCCTGCCTCCCAGAGCTTGTGGTCTAGCACAGAAGCAGACAATTACATAGTTACAAAATGTCACCAGACACTTTTCAGTACCTGCTAGGCCCTGGCACCCAGAAGGAGCTCAATAGATGAATGTGACCAGAGGAGAGACAGCACAGAAGGGCCGGGTGCCCTGGGACGGGGTGGATAAGATCGGTTACCTGGAGGCCAATGGACAACCTGTTGACTCCTGCTGCCCCAAATGCTGCCAGCCTAGAGGCTGGGGCAGAAGTGGGGTTGGCCTCCAACGTGACTTCGGAGTCTGCAGGCAGGTGAGTTGCCTGGGCCACCGCCTCTAGGACCGCAGCCACAGTGTGGGGACTGGCCAGACTGGGAGTGCCCCCGCCAAAGAACACAGACTCCACCCTGGGTAAAGAACATGGAGAGGATGAGAGCTGGGTGAGCCCTCCGCGACGCCTGCAGCACCTGTCCCATCCGCTCTCTCCAGGTCCTGCCTCTGACCCCCACACCCACCGATGTACCCCGCTGAGCCGCAGCAGAGTCTGAGCCTCAGTCACCAGGCAGCTCCGCATAGCTGCCTCCTCCATGCCGCGGGGGATGTACTTATTGAAGTTGCAGTAACTGCAGCGCTTCTCGCAGTAGGGCCACTGGGGGAAAGGGTGTTTGAAGAGGGAGAGGTGACTGCAGGCTGTCCTGGGTTCAGTCCAGGGTGCAGTCCCACACATCCCCATTCCCATTCCAGGTTTCTCAACAGTGCCTACGTCACCTGAGCCATACGACCCCCAAGGCAGGTCGGACCGGTATTATTATGCTCACTTCAATAATACAAAACTGAGCTCTGAAGGGAAATCACACGGTCAAGGGTCACTGAGCTGGTGAGCACCAGAGACTTCAGGTCCCTGGACCCAGACATTTCCCTGCCAAGGCACCGGGTCCCATCCGAGGCCTCGCCTGGGAGGCGAGGGAAGTCGGCCAGTGAGAAGTCACTATGTAGGTTCCGGCTGGCGCGGCCGCGCCCCCAACCTCAGCCTCCTCCTTCCCACTCACGTGGACGTAAAGCGCCGCGCGCTGGCTGGCAGTCACAGGACTCTGCGATCTTCCCGCGCCCTCCGCGCGGCGGCGCCTCTGGGCCACTTTGGCTGCTGCTGCCCAGGCCCCGGCCCGGGCCCCGGGAAGCGTCATGGTGCGCAATGCGGAGGTACAGTTTGCGCACCGGGCAGGATCCAAGCCCGAGACGCGTCCACGGGGCACACTGTGCGCAGAGCCGAACTGGTTGAGCTGCCCCGGCGGAAGGAAGAAGGGCTGCGTGACCACGCGCCGCGTCGGACACCTCGCCTGGAGGACCCGGGGCCTCGGGTCTGCGGCGCCACCTGCTGGGCACCTATGCGCTCCCCGCAGTCACCCGTCCTTTCAGGTTGGGGGGTGAGCTGCCCGCCTTTGGCACCTTGTCCCGAGGCGAGTTCCCTGACCCATCTAAGAATTCTTAGTTTATTCAGTGAATTCCTTCACATTTTATGTGCCTGGCAGAGAGCTGGGCGATGGGGACATTGGGACATCAGAGACATAAGACCAGGTCACAATACAAGTGCATAAGATAGGAGAAGAAAACCAAGAAGACAACAGGCAACATCTATTAATTCAGCACCTGCTGGATACCGAGGCAGCCTGCTCTGGCCTGTGGCGCAGTGTGTTACAAGGGTCTCGGGGTCAGTGTGGGAGGAGAGGACACTTGGGCTGGATGCTGAAGGGGCAGAAACCCCCCAGGGGAAGCCACTAGGCCAGGAGGTTAGGCTGTCATCTTCTGGGTCAGGCCGCCCTCATGTCTACAGTCACTGGTGGGAGAGTCAGGGATGGTAACTGTGGGAGAAACAGAGTTCAGGTGGTGGGCTGGGGAAGCAGGCCCCTGAACTGTCTCATGAAGTTGAAAGAGCACGGGCTTTTGGAGTCAGACAACCAAGTTCTAACTCGGCAGGACACCGAGCCGCCCTGAGTTTCTGCATCATCATTTGTGAAGTGGGGCTAATGTCTACTTGGACCCTCGGAGTATCCTAAACTTATGTTCGTCTTCTAAAAAAGCAAAGAGTCTGACCAGAGTGGCTCAGTGGGTTGGGCATGGTCCCTTTCAGCAAACTGAATGTCGCTGGTTGATTCCCAGTCAGGGCACATGCCTGGGTTGTGCGCCAGGCCCCCACTAGGGGGCGTGCGAGAGGCAACCAACTGATGTTTCCCCTGCCCAAAGGGAGCAGACACCTACAGGATGAGGATTGCAAGCAGGAAGAATTGTTTTTATTTCTTGGGTCAAGTTATAGCCTGCTTTATCTGGCTCTGCCCATCTGAGAAGCACAGGTTCATTGATGAAAAATAATAATAAAAATCGGGTTGCTTGAGGAGGTGGGGGGGACGAGAGAGTAGGGAGAGATGGGATGATAGCTAAAGGGTATGGCGTTTCTCTTTTTTTTAAAGATTTTATTTATTTATTTTTAGAGAGGGAAGGGAGGGAGATAGAGAGAGAGAGGGAAACATCAATGTGTGGTTGCTGGGGGCCATGGCCTGCAACCCAGGCATGTACCTGACTGGGAATCGAACCTGCGATGCTTTGGTTCGTAGTTCGCGCTCAATCCACTGAGCTATGCCAGCCAGGGCGCGTTTCTCTTTTTTAAACATATGAAGGATTTTTCCCATCACCATTTATCCCCCCATACCCTTTTCCACCTTCACCCACCCCTCCCCCCCTTGGAGTTTCTTTTCAGGGAGATGAAAATGTTTAAAATCAACTGCGACGATAGTGGCGCACACCTGTGAATATACTAAAAGTCAATTAATTGTGTATTTTATTTGTTTTAAAGAAAGGGTAAGCTTTTTAAAATTGATTTTTACAATTTGTAAACATTTATGTATTGATTTAAGAGAGAGAGAGGAAAGGAGAGAAACATTAATTTGTTGTCCCACTTATTTATGCATTCATTGGTCGATGCTTGTGTGCCCTGACTGGGATTGAACCCACAACCTTGGCGCTTCAGGATGACACTCTAACTCACTGAGCTACCGGGCCAGAGTTTTACTGATTTGTAGAGAGAGAGAGGAAGAGGGAGAGAGACAGACAGACAGACAGAGAGGGGGAGAGATCAAGACAGACAGACAGAGAAACACCAGCTTGTTGCCACACCTACCCATGCAATCATTGGTTAATTCTTATATGTGCCCTGACTGGGGAATCAAACCCACAGCCTTGGCCCATCAGGACAATGCTCCAACCCACTAAGCTACTCAGCCAGGGAGAATGGTACACTTTAAATGTGTGATTTGGATGGTACGTGAATTATATCTCAATGAAGCTGTTATAAAAAAGAACACTTCTTGCTGGACTAATCTGGTGACAGTGTGAGAAAGAAGTAAGTATCGTTTTTAAAAATATGCGATGCCCAAGGGACGGAGTGAGGATTAAATTAGTACAGAACGCACACCAAAGAATTTAGCACCCTCGTTGATAAGGAATAAGTTTGAAAGTGCTCGTTTCCCTCTGGCTTCTTCCCTTCTCCTTCCCATAGTAGCTGCCAAGAGATCACACCAGCAAGAGATCAGTCAAAGAAAACAGAGAAGCTCTTTATGTCAAACCACAAAGACAGAGGAGGGGAGTGTGGGGAAAGGGCGGGCAGGGCCTGGGAGGGACTCCCCTCCCCTTCATTCACAGGTTTAGATGCTGTTCCATCTGTTTTTGAAGCTTGAATTTCTGGACCTGGAGGAAAGAGAAAGGAGTGAGAGCCGGCCTTGTGACCTCTACCAGCTAGGGAGACCAACTGTCTGCATGTGCCCGGGACTGGGGATTTTCTTAGGCTACAGCCAGGGAGACTTTGGGGCAAACTAAGTTGAATGGTTGGTCATCATCCTGCCAGGCGCTTCCCTGCTGCTGAGGGAAGCAGAGGGGGGACTGCCCTGCCCCGCCCCTGTCTTCTTCCCCTCACATACCTTTCCCGAGATGGTGAGGGGGTAGTCGGTGACGAACACGACGTACCGGGGGATCTTGAAGTGGGAGATCTGTGGACCAGGGGGAGGTGGAACATGAGGCTGGGTGATGGTCAGGGGGTTGGGGAAGGGAACAGTGGGCTCAGCGGTTGGCAGGGAGAAGGGGTTGAAGAACCGGGCACCATCATGGCGGGGTGCATGGAGGCTCCCACCTTCCCTTTGCAGAACGCCTTGATATCCTCTGGCGTGGCCTCCTCCCCCGACTTCAGCCGAATGCAGGCGCAGATCTCCTCCCCCATCCGGTTGTCCTTCACTCCCACCACCTTCCAGAGTCACAGACAGATATTAGACACCCCTAGCGCCAGCCGTGTTTCCTGCTCCCGGGGGCTCCCCTGGACCGGGTGCCTCACCTGCACTTCCTGCACCTGTGGGTGTGTGTGAAGGAAGCTCTCCAGTTCTGCAGGGTAGATGTTCTCCCCGCCCCGGATGATCATGTCCTTAGAGCGGCCCACGATCTTGCATATGCCCTGCTCATCCATGGTGGCAATGTCTCTGTAAGGAAAGGCCAGAAACGGGCTCTCGCCTGTCTGCCTCAGCCAGCTGGCTGGCTCACTCGTTCATCACGCATTTATCGAGCACCTAATAGGTGTCTTGCACTGCCCTAGACTCTGGAGGATCCAACGTGAAGAAGACATTTCCTGGAACTTACAGTCTAGTTTAGAGGCCAAACACAAACCAACACCTACATATTCCCTCTCTCAACATATCTGTACGCATGCTTTTCTTGGTCGGATTCCTTTCCATCATTCAGGTCTCAGGTCGAACATCTCCCCATGACGGAGGCCTTCTCTGACCACCTAGACTAAGAGACGTTCCCCTCCCTGTTAGTAGGACTTTCTTCCTTCTGATCCTATTTTTTTTCCTTCATTGGTATTTTACCAATGTCTGAAATTGTCTTATTTATATGTCTCGCTCCACCAGACATGTGAGAAGTAAGAGTAGGACCCTTCTTGTCTTGCTTTCTCCTGGCCTGCCGGCGCCCAGAAGTGTGCTGGCACATGACGGGTGCATGAGAACTTGTTGCGTGAACACACGAGCGACTAAATCTGGGCCCCAATTTTGCTGACACTGCCGCAGCTCGCTGTCCTGGCGCTCCCTCCGGTGCCGCGTGGATCCTTCCAGGGGCCCTACGTGCTACCCTCAACCACCCCCACTTCACACACTGTGCAGGTGAAGTCAGGATATGAAGGGCCATCCTGACACACGTATTCTCCCTCTTCTCATTTAGTGTTCTTAGCTCAGGCTCAGGACTCTTGGCTCCTACTCAGCAGCCAAACCCACCACCCCGCCCTGCACTCTCACCCTGTTCGATACCAGTTGTCGAGTCCAATCACCTCCTCAGTCTTCTGGGGATCGTTCCAGTAGCCCAGCATGACGCAGTACCCTCGGATGCACAGCTCTCCAGGTGTGTTCAGCTCTGCTGTGGCCCCCGTCTTCATGTTCACGATCTTGGCCTGGGACAGGGCAGCTTCAGGCTGGGGTCTCCCACACTCTCATTTCAGGATGGAGTGGGGTTAGTCAGGAATGGGTGAGAGCTTTGCCTTTCCTCTCCCCAATAATGAAGCCCTTCTGGCCCTTCTGCCCAGCCCGAACCAGGGAGGGAGACAAAGGCCAGAGCGGATGCATCACCAGACCCCTGAGCTGGGCATGCAAGAATAGGCGAGGCCCGCACAGGGCATGTGGAAGAAACAGAGTGGACAGGGGCTGCCGCGGAGAAGGCCTATGGAGGGCCGGGCAGGCTGAGAAATTATAAATTGTGCAGAAGAAAAGGGAACGTTCTCTTACTTCCCATTAAGTAGCAAATAGAGAAGCCAAAGAGGGTGGTGTGGCCGGGCCATGTGGACAGGAGAGGTGGCAGAGAGGCAGAGTCTGAAAGCCCAGTGGAGAAATGAGCCACAGCCAGCATGAAAGGAAGACTTAGCCTCTGTGTGCCTCAGGGTCTGCATCTGTGCAATGGGGAGAACTACGCTGGCCCTGTCTCCCTCCCAGGTGGGCACCCCACAGAGGGGCAGTGAGGCCGTCGGATGGCACAGCACAGCACACTCGCTCCAGGGAGGAGGGAAGGAAAGCTCTGCACCAGGACGGCGGTGGCTCGAGGGGAAGCCGCAGCATGGACACACTGGCAGTGACCCCACAGGCGCGAGGGCACAAGGGGGCGAGGGAAACCAGGTATGGGCTGGCGTAAAGCACCAGTGTCAGAGCAGGAAGGGAGTCACAGTTGGGGATTTGAGAGCGAGAGATGATGTGGGTCAGCCTGGAGGTGCAAGGGACACCCAACGGGACAGGCAGCTTGGGAAACCCAGTGTGTACACCAAATGAAAAGACGAACTCCACTGAAGTGAGGGCAGGGGGTCTACGGGAGAGAGAGAGCTGTGTAGGAAAAAAATCTATGTGCTTTGGCTCCTCTTCGAGGCCGTCCTGGCTGCCCCGAGACAGACAGTGGGGCTTGGCAAAAACACACCTCAGACAGGAAGGGAGGCAGCAGGGAAGTTCAGCTGGCAGCTGCTCACGGCCACAGCCCAGCTCTTCCTCCCAGGCCTCAGCCCACAGAGAGCCCGGGGCCAGGCCCGGGGAAGACCCTGCTGCAGGGGAGAGGGAGTGCTCTCTGCAGGGAGTAGGGTCTGGGGTCCTGGTCTGGGACTCACCTCTGTGTGAGGCATGACTTTGCCCACACTGTGTGCCTTCTCCTCCAAGGGGTCATCAGGAAAGCTCATGAAGGTCACAGGGCTGTTCTCTGTGGTTCCGTAACCAATCTAGAGGGTTCAGAAAGAATGCTGGGAGGGAGCTGGCTGGCTGCAGAGGGATGGGATGAGCCACCCCGAGGGGCTGGAAGGGACTCAAGGGAAAGTGAATGGTGGGGAACAAGGCACAGCTGGTAGAGGCCAGGGGTCAAGAGGCAGAGGTGCTGGGACATCGAGCTGTTAACAAACGGGAGCCCCAGATGTGCAGCTGACAGCAGGGAAGCCATTCTCTCCTCGCCAGGGTCCTCTCAGTGTGTTTCCCTGGGGCCCTGATTGCTCTCCTCCCCTTTCCCCAGGAATCCGGACACGGTGGCTGGCAAGTGGGCACAGAGGTCTGGTCAGTGGAGGCAGGGCTGCCCACAGGACCTGAGCTGTCCAGGGCTGGTTCCTTGTAGTCAGGCCCCGGGCTCCCTTACCAGCCGGTCCTCCCAGTCCTGTGGCCACTGCCCAGGTGTAGCCTCTGCCAAGTACATCTTGGCGCCACCCTGGCCACCACCCTGGGGATGGGAATGAGGGGATGGGATATTTTAAGGAGATTAAAAGGGGGTGGGGGTGAGACTGTATTTGTTCAGTTGCCTGACTCCTTGCCTGCCTGTGGCCTTCAGGTGTGTTCTTGAGTCCTGTGGGTCACTCCCTCCCACCACCACTGCACACACACGCACACACGCTTTTCTGGTTGGTGTTCAGCCACGGAAAAAGGAGAGAGTGGTCGCAGGGGAAACTCAAGCTTCAGGCTAGTGGAGAGGAGTCTGAGGCCAGTCCAGGGGTGGGGCAGGAGCTCCCATCTCCCTGGGGCTGGCGGCGTGTCTAGCCAGAAGGGGGAGCCCGACGCCAGGGCGGCTCGCGCGCTTGGCCGGCGCCGCACAAGAGCCCCATTAAAGCGCTGCCGGCTGGCCAACCGCGGCGAGACTCGCGTCCGACTGTCCGACCCTGCTTCCTCCTTCGCCGGGTCCAGGGCACCCGGCCCAGTGTGTATGGGGGCGGTGGAGGAGGTGGGCAGCGCGGCAAGTGGGCTCAAACTTAAGCAAACAAATACATTCACGGACCGCCTCCACCCCCCCCCTCCCGCCCCCGTGCAATCACTGGGCTCTAAGCCACCCCCACAGTCCCCCACCCCAAGGCATGGGGAAAGGAGCTAGGAGGTCTGAAAAGAAGCAGGGACTGAGAGCAGGGGATGAGGTTGAGTGCCGCGGTCCCAGCCCCGCGGGGTTGCCAGCTGAGGGAGGGGCCCCGCCCCCTCCCAGTGGAGGGCGGGGGCGCATCACCCGGCGGGAGGGAGTTGAGCCCGGTGGCCTCGATGCTCCACGTAGGAGCTGGCTCCCGCTGTCAGTTGCGGTCAGGGCCACCGTATAAATAGGGCGAGAGACCCGAGCGCCAAGGACTTCCCGCTGCCCGTGTCCCGCTGTCGTCGCCGCCGCTGCCCCCAGCCCGGCCCCAGGCGTCCGGCCATGGCCACCGCCTGCCCTATCCTCCTGCTCAGCCTCGGGCTCCTGGCCGGCCTGCTGCCGGCGCTGGCCGCCTGCCCCCAGAACTGCCACTGCCACGGCGACCTGCAGCACGTCATCTGCGACAAGGTGGGACTGCAGAAGATCCCCAAGGTGTCAGAGAAGACCAAACTGCTCAACCTGCAGCGCAACAACTTCCCTGTGCTGGCTGCAAACTCGTTTCGGGGCATGCCCAACCTGGTGTCGCTGCACCTGCAGCACTGCCAGATCCGCGAGGTGAGCGCTGGCGCCTTCCGTGGCCTCAAGCAGCTCATCTACCTGTACCTGTCCCACAACGACATCCGTGTGCTGCGCGCTGGCGCCTTCGACGACCTGACCGAGCTCACCTACCTCTACCTGGACCACAACAAGGTGACCGAGCTGCCCCGGGGGCTGCTGTCCCCGCTGGTCAACCTCTTCATCCTGCAGCTGAACAACAACAAGATCCGAGAGCTGCGGGCAGGCGCCTTCCAGGGTGCCAAGGACCTGCGCTGGCTCTACCTGTCGGAAAACGCGCTCAGCTCCCTGCAGCCGGGGGCCCTAGATGACGTGGAGAACCTCGCCAAGTTCTACCTGGACAAGAACCAGCTGTCCAGCTACCCCTCGGCCGCGCTGAGCAAGCTGCGGGTGGTGGAGGAGCTGAAGCTCTCCCACAACCCCCTGAAGACCATTCCCGACAATGCCTTCCAGTCCTTCGGCAGGTACCTGGAGACCCTCTGGCTGGACAACACCAACCTGGAGAAGGTGAGGTCCTGGCTGCGGAGCTCTGCCCTGTCTCTGTCTTCTCTGGCTAGAGGCCCAGGAGCCCAGGGCCACAGCTGGGTACCACTCCCTCTCCCCTAAAATCGCCTCTGTCCCTCTGGCCGTCTCCAAGGTGAGGTGCTCTGTCCCTTATCTTGTCACGTTTCCACCCTGCCCTGCTGCCCCCGTCCCCGGTCTTTACCGATGCCCTCCTAGCATTTCTACTTATAAGTGGAGCTGGAGCTGCTCTGGCCCCACCGACGGTCCCTAGGAGGTACGTCCGATTCTCCCAAACCCCCCGCTGTGGGCAGCAGCCACTTCTTCCTGTTGGGCCTTCTGCCCCTCCTCTGCTGTTTTTCCCCCGTCTCCAGTAAACCTACCACCCCATAAAGGGAGGTTTGTTTATTGAGGAGACTTCCAGAGGAGCCGCAGATCAGGCCCACAAAGAGACCCTGTTCCTGGAGGGGGGTGTGCATGTGTGCTGAGGGGTGGGGTGGGGGGGCTGGGGAGTGTGGGGGGGGTAAATACCAGAGGAAGACCTCCTCCATGCCCCCTAGAGGCCCTGGTGGATTCCACCCGCCACCCCCCCCACCCCTCCACACACATATTCCACTGCATTCTGGGTGCATTTCAACTGAGTGGGGACCGGGGACCAGAGCCTCCCCAGACTGCAGGCATGGCACCCAAGAACTCCGTGAAGGGCAAAGGCAAGAACCACAGAACATTGTCAACCTTTGGCACAGGTCCCCAGGTGTCTCCCTCTAGGGAAGACTAAATGTGCCTCACTGTCCCCCAGACTACTGACAGCCCTTGGCCCACTCCAGTCCCCAGACCCATCTCCTGGCTGCAGCCTCATTGAATCCTTCCTCTCCTGTGGTACTCAGCACCTGGCCAGGTGGTGCTGCCTTGGGTTTGGGTGGAATCTCTTCTTGGAGCTGGAAAATTTGCTCTGGCACAAGGGTTTCGGCCAGGAGTTTTGGGCAGGCACTGGGGCAAGGTGGGGGAGACGGTTGTCAGAACAGTCCGGTTATCAGAGGACTTCACACCCCTCCCTGGCCACAGGCATGGAGACGAAGACAGAATCATACCTTGTAGGCAGCCAACTTTTGTCTACATGGATGGAGCTGTCCTTCCATAGCCTGGCTGCTCCCCAGCTGAAGTCAGAGTACCCTGGGCCCCCCCACCCCCCGAGCCAGAGCAGCCCTCCTGGATGCAGCAGAGCTGGGGCAACAGGGACTGATCAGGGACAGGGGAGGCCAGGCAGGGTCTGCGGCGCCTGGGCCAAGATGTGGGCACCAATAGGAGGTTTCCTCTGGCGCTGTCCAACCCGGCCAGAGACTCCTGCAAGGAGGCTCCACAAATAGCTTCTGGCAGGCGGTGAGGGAGCAGTGAGGACAGAGCTGGGGGAAGTTCCAGAGCCTCGGGGCTGTGGGGAGCCTGGGCCCACTGCCCGTCCCACCAAACACTGACCAGCCTCACCGTGTGCCAGCTTGGGCCACTGGGGCCAAACCCTGGCCGCATCCCCAGTGGCAGTGTTTGTGCAGAAAGTGTGGTGCCAGGGGCAGAGGAGCTGGGTGTGGCCCCGCGGCTACTGTGTACTCCCTCTTGTGACCTTGGGCAAGGGACTTAGCTTCCTCCCCCATCTGCATGTTGGGAACACCACCAGCTATCTCAGCAACGTGGTTGTGTGGATCAAATCATCAGAGACGACTTAGTCACATTGTGACACTCCTCAAGGTGTTACTGCTCGTGTCCAGAGAAGGACCCTGCCCCTCTGGGGCCACGAGCTGGGAGGGGCTGGACGCCGGGCCTAGGGTGCTCACTCATGCCCACCTTACTCCCCAGTTCTCCGACGGTGCCTTCCTGGGTGTGACCACACTGAAAAATGTCCATCTGGAGAACAACCGCCTGAACCAGCTGCCTTCCAACTTCCCCTTTGACAGCCTGGAGACCCTCACTCTCACCAACAACCCCTGGAAGTGTACCTGCCAGCTCCGGGGCCTCCGGAGGTGAGCGCACCCCCATGCCGTCCCCAGAACCCGCCCTCCTGTGATGCAGTGGAGATGCACTGGCCCCGAGCTAAGCTGTCCTGGGCATCTGTCCCGCATCTGCTATCTGACAGGTGCGGGGCTCTGCGAGTTCCTACATTTGTAAAATGTAGATGACGGTTCCCAGAGCCCCGAAGCCAAGTCAGTCCCGGCCCCGCAGCAGCCGTGTCCCTTCCCCCATCACTGCCATATCTCTTCCCCAGCCCCGGCTTCTCTCTGTCTCTCCAGGTGGCTGGAAGCTAAGACTTCCCGCCCGGATGCCACCTGTGCCTCGCCCACCAAGTTCAGGGGCCAGCATATCCGTGACACGGACGCCTTCCGCAGCTGCAAGTTTCCCACTAAGAGGTCCAAGAAAGCCAGCCGCCATTAAACAGGTGGGAGCAGGGCAGGCGGGTCCTCGTTCCCCTGTGTGGAGATTCTGGCAAGTGAGGAGGGCGCCCCAGGGTGCTCCCTCCCCACAGGATGCCATGCAGACCCTCCAGTTTCACAGGAAGAAGAGGGGAAGACTGGGGCCCCCTTCTAAAGGGGGAAATGACACCGCCCAGGGCTCCCGCCACTCTCTCCAACATCGTCCGGGTCATTGGAGCCCTGGCAGCGATCCTCGCTTCACCCCAGGTCCTGATCCAGCCGGTCCCGGTGGCTGGTGTCTGCCTTCTGTTGGAGAAACTACTGACCTCCCCACCTCTGACCCCACCTTCTTCCACAGCCTCTGCTGATGCACAGAGCTGTCCACACCTAGACATGTCCTGGCCGGGGGATTTGGGACTCCAGCAGGGACCCAGCTCCACCATCTCCACGTGACAGCGAGGGCTCCGTCACACCTGGCCCCTCCATCATGGTTCCTCTCAAAGAAGCTGCGCCGAGACCCCCAAGTCCTTCAGAACCGGAACTGAGTGGTCATCAGGATGGCCATCCTTCCGTCTGCTCCCCTGACCCTTCCGTTTGGAAACAAACATCAGATCCTTGCCCTGCCCCTTGTTTCCAGGAAGGGCCGTAAGCCCATACTCCAACTCTGCCACCCCCTTCCTGCCAGAGTGCTCTAGCAGGATACTGGTGCTTTGCCAAACATCCCCCATGCTGCATGTCTTCCCCAGGTTCCTGTAAGTATAAATTTGTGTATGTGTAATATTTACTCCCCGTTGTTCACTATCTCCATGACTCTACAGATGCAGATGAGGCCAGGCTGCATTTTCTCACGTCCACTTTCTGGAAGGAAGGTGGGCCGAGAGGGTCTACTCTGGAGACCGGCCCGGGCTCATCCTCACTCCTGTACACGTGTTCTCATCCCAGGCCGGCCTGCCTCCCGTCCCCACCTCCACCCCTGCCCTCACTCACCACCAGGTCCTTTGCGTTCAGCTTGTTTATGATGTCTTTCATCAGGTCTGGGGGTACAGGGGACCCAGCAATGACACCTGAATCAGAGAGAGGGCTGACACAGTTCCCCGCCTCTCCAGGCCCAGTGAGCCCCCTTCGCCTGCAGGTCTTTCTAGGGAAGAACATTCCCTGTCTTCCCTGGCCCAGGACCTGTTCCTGCACTTGAGCTTGTGTCCAGGGTTGCTGGGAGTTTGCCTCCCTCCCATCCACGTTCCTACAGTGACCTTCTTGCCCCCTACATAAAGGACTGGGTGTATATCGGGCTCACTCAGGCCAGTCCTGGCCTGGCCACGCTTGGCCCCACCCCACCTGCTCTCATGGCTGAGACGTCGTAGCTGGAGAAGTCGGGCTGGTTCAGAATGTCCGAGTACATTGTGGGGGTGCCGTACAGGAAGGTGCCCCTGTGTAAGGAGGGGTGGCATGTCAAAGTCAGGTTTGGGAGTCAAATGGGTCTCCCTCTTCTCACCCACCCCACCTTGAACCTGTAGGAAGGGCCGAGGCTGCAACTGTGGGAAAAGGGCAGGAGACGTTCTTTGGAAAAAGGAACTGGTGCTCTCCTGGGGTCCCCCGCTACCCTGTCTCCATTTCTCCTGACCAGGGGGAGGAGACGTGTGGAGCGGGATCAGGTCCCAGGAGGGAGGAGGAAGAGGAGGGTCTCATGAGCCGGCAGGTGGCTCCCCACTGATGCCCACCTCTCTCTGCTGATGGCCTCCAGCGTCTGCTTGCCATTAAAAACCGGAGAAGGCAGGACTATGGGGACGCCGTGTAGCACGCTCACCACTGTGCCCCCCACAGAGCCCATGCAGTGGTACAGGGGGGCGGGCAGGATAATCCTTGGCTCCTCTGGTGTCTGGAGAGGGAGGCAGGAGGCTAGGCTTGTCCTGCAGCCGGAAGCTCCAGAAGCTGGTTCCTTTGGCCGGCAGGGAGAGCCCAGCGGGGCCCCACCCATGCAGGGCGCCAGTAAGTCTTAGCCAGCAACCCCCTCACCTTCAGGTATAGTTTCAAGCGCTTGCCCATAAAGTTGGAGTTGTTGACGATGTTGTGGTGGGAAAGGGTGGCCCCCTTGGGGCTGCCTGTGGTCCCCTGACAAGACAAACAGAGAACACTCGGCCTCTTTCTCCCCGCCTCCCTCACCCCGCCCCCCCCCCGGGGCCACTGCGTGGATGGCACGGGACTGCGGGGCCGAGAGTCGGGAGACTGGGGCTGCCGCCCCAGACCCACGCATTCATTCAGTAGGCGTTCTCAAAGCTTTACCGCGGGAACGCACGGCGCCGGGTGATGAGATCGGAAATGTGGCAGATAAGGTCTTATCAAGTGGCTCAGAGGACTCTGTGGCTCACGAGAAGATGCCCCTTCTGAGCCTCCGTTTCCTCATCTGCTAAATGAGGGAGCAGGCTGCACCAGCTCTGACCTGTAGTGGCACAGTGCATCTGCCCCTGTGCTGGGGACAAGACGGTCAGGGGAAGGGGGCATGTGACGAGGACACCGGTTGCTGATGTTTTCCAGGGCAGAGAGAATGGCTACAGCCAGGCCCAGGAGAGGCACCTGCACTCTGACCTCACCCGTCGTGTCCTCATTCACGGGCAAGAGTCACAGGGGTAGGCAGGGGTCAGCACGCCAGCCTGGGCTTGGGTCACGAACACCTCTGCCTTACTGAGGTAAACTGGATGTTGATAGGGTCATAGCAGGACAGGAACTGCTCGGTGTGCCGGAGCTGGGCCAGATGCTGCTCTGTGTTTCCGGCTGCCACCACATCCTCCAGGAACAGGGTCCCTGGCAGAGGGGTGTCCACTGAGATGAGTGTGGTCAGGTCTGGAAGCCTGGGGGTAGGGAGGGTGATGAGTCACGGACCGAGGGAGGGGGCACGGAGACACCAGCCTCCTCCCTGGGGGTGGGTAGCGGTGGAGGGGGCCAGGATGCCACATAATGTACCCTTCCCAACCAGCGACATCCCCACCTCTGACACTTCAAGGCCCCTGGCTGGGCCTTCTCCAACTCGGGACAGATCTGCTTCAGGATGTTGTAGAATTGCTGGGTCTTGAATTGCTTGGGGAACACGAGGGCTTTGCAGCCCACCTGTGGAACGGGAGCCCCCCAACCCCCGCAGTCAGCAGAACGCCCCACACCGGGGATATGGTGGAGTCCACACTGAAAGTTGCTCTCTCTGGCCCTGGCTGGTGTGGCTCAGTGGACTGAACGCCGGCACACACGCACCACTACCCCAACACACAACACACACATGCCTCTAACACACCCACACTGACTCATTCACGTTCCGCCGCCGTGACACATGCATGTGCCGCCACCCCCAACACACGCCAGCTTTGCGTCTGCCCAACTACCTCCTCCTACCGCCCACTCACAGCCCGAGGACGGACAGACTGTGGGTATGGCCCGGCTGTGTGTGCCCTCCCCACCCCATCGGCCCACTGTGACAACCGAAAGCCCCCCGCTCCAGATCAGGGACAGACCCTACCTTCCTGAGGACATACTCCAGCTCCATGGCCTTGTAGGCTGGGTTCACAGACACCTGCAAGGGTACATCAGTGTCCTGGGCAGACCCTGTCCCTCTCATTGCCCCCGTAGCCCTCAGGAAACATGGTGTAGACAGAGGAGGCAGAAGAAAGCGACCCAAACACCCGTCCAAGCACTGGTTTGGTTCTGAGGCCAAGGGGCCAGCAGGCTTCCTTTGAACGATGCCCTCCTAATGCCCCCCTGCATACCCAGCTGTGCCAGGCCAGCCCCTCCTCACCAGAATGATGCCTGCCTGAGCGGTGGCCAGCTGCATTAGCACCCAGGCATAGGAGTTCGGTCCCCACATGCCCAGCCGGTCACCCTTGCAAAGGCCGATACTCAGGAGCCCAGAGGCAGCTTTGTCCACCTGGTGGAAACAGACAGGGCACAGGGGTGAGGGGTGGGCAAGCAGAAAGGGGCCATGATGCCCACTTCAGCCCTTGGCCCAGGCGGTCACATCGGAACCGCCTGGATACAAGGCCTCAGTGGAACAGGAGTGGGGCATAGGATATGCAGAGTTAAGAAGTGCCCCAGGAGTGACTGATGCAGGAGGCCCCTGGGCAGCCTCTGCCTCAGCCCTGCCCCCATCTCTGGACGTCCCCTGAGGTTCCCAGGCATCCCCAGCACCCTGCCCCACGGTCAGGTGCTGCCCTTGTGGCTCCCCTCAGCCAGAGAAGCCTGGGGACTAGCACCTGTCCACTTGAAGGGTTCAAGGTCAGGACCTACCTCTTCCTTGAGCTGGGCAAAGGTCAACCTGATGTCCTCATGGAGGACAACCAAGGCCTCTTGGTTTGGGAACCTCTGTGCTGTGGCAGCCAGGCACTGTCCCACGGTCTTGTCGATCAGACGGGATTCGGTGCAGCCCCGGACGTAGCTAAGGCCTCCGATGGGCAGGGTGGCAGTGTGGGCCACCTCTCTGGAACTGTGGGGACAGGCGCCATGGACTCCACTGCCCCGGGCCAGGCCTCCCCCCGCATCAATGGCCTGGCACACCCGGCTGGGAGGTAGATCCTTAGGGGTCACGGCTGAAACTGTTGGACCCACCCCATCCATCCCCAGGAACCATCACCATTGAACTTAGGGGAAGCTTCACCATTGGGAGATCCAAACCGGAATCTGACTTGGTGTCCGTAACCAGAGAAAAGGCTCTTTTCCCCAGCCCACTCTGCAGTTCCCACTCAGTGCCAGCCGCCTGGAGCCTTGGTGCAAACACACTAGGAAAGGAGACCGAGGCAAATCACGCGGCTTTGGCCCAACAGACAGGTTGGCTGAGAGGCGCTAGAACAACGGCCTCGTCCTGGAACCACATCCTCCTGATGAAAAAAGCCCCTGGGCATTTGTCACCCCTGGCCTCAGCGTAGGTGAGGCCAGCACATGGACCAACCCTTAATGTAAACTAGGGACTGTAGTCCATAGTAACGGGTCAACGATGTTGCACTACCTGTAACACATGCCGCTGCAAGACGTTAACAATGGGAAACCGTGGTGTCAGGGCAGGGCAGGTGTAGGAAGTGCTAGCTCAACCAATTCAGTTATTCTGTAACTCCAGGACTGTACTACAACAGCTAAGTGTATTACCGTATTTTGGGGCTATAAGACGCACGCCCCCAAGTTTGGGAGGGAAAGGGGGGATGCGCCTTATAGTCCAAATATATCTTTACATTTACATTGGTGAAATATTATTTATGTTATTAAATATATTACCCCATGTTTTGCTTAAAAAATTTTTCCCCCTATTTTCCTCCTCTAAAACCTAGGTGCATCTTCTGGTCTGAAAAATACGGTAATTATTAAAGAGACAAAACCATAAAACGTCTCCAGAAGTCCAGGCACCGTGTGCTGAGGACTGTGTGTGCTCACTTGCTCACCCTGGGTGGCAGGTGCTGGGCTCCTGGTTGGGCTTATGGAGCATGCAGCAGGGTTCGGGTCCCACCAGAGAGGGCACGCTCCAGGTTCCGGTCTCCTCGGCCACCTCCGGGCCACCACTGGGTGGTGTGGGCCCTGAGGGCCAAACCTGATGATTCAATTCTGCAGCTGCTAAACCATGGTTTATGGTTTGTGGAGGACAATTTCTGGGGAAAATAAGGTGTGCCGGCCAGCGGGAGAGGGAGCAGAGGAAACCCTGCCATCTCACAGGAGGGCAGGTCATGATGCCACCGATGAGGAGGGGGCCCTGCCTTGACTCCGGAACTGGAGCTGGGGGAGCTGGGGGAGCTGGGGGTGAGGGTGAGTCGCCCAGTGGGGCCCCGCCGAAGCTCTGCAGGCAGTAAGCAGGCACCGGGCTGGTGTCGGAGGCCTGAGGTCTCATCCCAGCTGTGCTGCTGGCTGGGTGAGTGACTGTCACAGACACCTTTGGTGTCCTGTGTCACGTCTCCTCAGTGCATCTCTGTGGTTTTGGCTGCTGGGACAGTTCCTTGGGGGTTTGTCTGTTCAGGGACTTCCTCAAGACTCCCTTTCTGTAGCTGAACAGTTCTGGGGGGCTGCCGGGCCTTCCCAGAGGTCCTGGGGAGCAAAACCATGGTTGCCTGGGGTGAGGACCTCGATAACACAGCTGATGCTGGCTCCCCTCCCTCTCTCCTCCTCCGGCTCCTCCTGTTTCCTAGGATCACGGACAAGCCGTCTGCATCCAAGTCCTTCTTCTCGGGGGAATCCAAAATAAGACACAGGGTTTATCCTCCCTAAGCCTCAGCTTCCCTACCTATAAAGTTCGGGGACCGAATCAGTGGTTATTCTCAAGGGAATGTTATCTAGTACCCGGACCATCTCTTTCAAAGGGTTGCGGCGAGCCAGCTGAGCCAGGTGGCTCCTGTGGGTGTGTGAGCAGAAAATAGCCAAGACTTGCGGGGCTTTAAGATCCTGTGAGTCCGCACCCACAGCTGTCCACAGGTTGACAAACCTAAAGAACTGCTGAGGTGGTTTCCAGGGGTCACCATGACACCCCTCCAGAGAGACTGTGCCCCCCAAATCCCTACCTCACAGGCATCCTGTAGAGGATGAGGAGTAAAGTGAAGACAGAAAATGGAGTCACTTCAGTCAAGCTGCTGAATTACTGAAATCAAGTGGTGGAGGCGTGAGAAAATGATTCTATTCTTTTTAAAAAATGTTTTATTTATTAATTTTTATTTTATTCCTTAGAGAGAGGGGAAGGGAGGGAGAAAGAGAGGGAGAGAAACATCAATCGGTTGCCTCTTGTACGTGGCCCCAAGCGGGGATCAAACCTGCAACCCAGGCATGTGGCCTGACCGGGAATCAAACCGGTGACCTTTGGCTTTGCGGGACAATGCCCAACCAACTGAGCCATACCGGTCAGGGCAAAATGATTCTATTCTTGCTTTAACTAGCCCAGGAACTTAAAGTTTTATATAGATACCCTACTGATAATCCTCTGGTTACCCCCTGAAGGACTAAAGAATGTTCGTCTGCCCACTGGATATCCAGAAGATTACCATTTTGGAACAATCCAGAGGCTTAGAATACAGGACTGGTTCTTCTCAAGAATTCAGTCTTTACTGCAGGGACCACTAGCTTTTCATTCTTTAGAACACTCCGTGTATCGCCTAGCTGTGTTTCCAGTTTGCAAACCCTATGAGCCGTGAATAAAGCTTTATCTTATTTCTAGCCAAAACCTCCTGCTTTGTGCATGCTAGGTCAATAAGGACACTCATGTCTGCTCACTGGGAAGCAGAAACGCTCTTTTCTTTGGGTTTGTGGAAGTGATGGTTGCAAGAGCAACCATGAGGAGGGAACCTGCTTAAGAAGAAAGCCAACGCAAGGAAAACCAGGGAGAGGGAAGGAGAGACAGTGGGAGACAGAAACAGGAAGTCACAGTGGCCAACTTAATCTTGAGGCAGTTGAATTCCTAGACAGCTGTCTAGCTACCTCTGGACTTTCCACTGCCAATAGGTAATAAATTCCCTCTCTTACTTTAACCCAGCTTGCGGGGGGTGGGGGACTAGCTAAACTCCATTTGTGACAACATGGATGAAACCTGAAGGACATTATGCTAAGTCCAATAAACCACACATACCCCTGGCTGGCATGGCTCAGTGGATTGAGTGCTGGGTTCGATTCCCAGTCAGGGCACATGCCTGGGTTGCGGGCCAGGTTGTAGGTGGGTGCGTGTGAGAGGCAACTGATTGATGCATATATCTCCCACATATGGAGGTTTCTCTCCTTCCCTTTCCCTCTCTCTAAAAAATAATAAAATGTTTTTTAAAAGGGGTTATTTATTTATTTAAGTCTTTATTTATTTATTTATTTTTAGAGAGGGAAGGGAGGGAGAAAGAGAGAGAGAGAGAAACATCAATGTGCGGTTGCTGGGGGCTGTGGCCTGCAACCTAGGCATGTGCCCTGACTGGGAATCGAACCTGCGATGCTTTGGTTCGCAGCCTGAGCTCAATCCACTGAGCTACGCCAGCCAGGGCAAATAAATAAAATCTTAAAAAAAAAAAAACTTTTAAAGATTTGGGGAAGGCGTTTGGGGAAAAGTTTAAAAACTTTTAAAAAAGATTTAAATTGATTTATTTTTAGAGAGCGAGAAAGGGAAGGAGAAAGAGAGGGAGAGAAACATCGATGTGTGGTTGCCTCTTCAGTCTGCAGTCTCATTGCCTCATCACCTGAGCCGCACCAGCCAGGGCCCTTGTAATTCTGTGCTCCAATTTTGCAAGATGTTACTATTAGGGGAAACTAGATAACGGCTACATGGGATCTGTTTCTATTATTTCTTACAACTGCATGTGAATGTTCATTATCTTCAAATAAAAGGTTGAATTTAAACAAGTTCTTAGAGTATATAGTATCGGGGACTCCAAGCTATATAACTGGCCTGCCCAGTCCAGCAGGCATGAAAGTCACACTATCCCAACGCTCCCGGCTGGGACGGCCCCTTGGCACATTTGCAAGACCTATTCTGGGGCCCCCACTGCTCCGCTTGCCTGTTTACTGCCACGGGCAAGAGGTGACATATTGGGCAGATGAGACCATGTCCATCTCCCCACAGTCATAGAAGAAAGCTAAGTTGTTTAGTGTATAACCCATGCTTTTGTGAATGTTTGCCAGGGTCATTGCTCCTTCCCAAAGCATCCCGTGGTTTCTGTGCAAAAGAGGTCAGGCACAAGAGTGTATGCTCTAAAATTTGAGAATAGGTGAAAATTAACCTGTGGAGATTATAAATAAATGAATAGTGATAGCCTCCGGTTGGGGAAGGCAATTGACTGGAAAGGGGCATGAGAGAAATTCCTAGAGGTGTGGTCTCTATCATACACGGTAGCCACTCATCACACGTGGCTCTGGAATACTAGTCTGAATTGAGGTGTCCTGTAGGTGTTCAAAGGTTTCATGGGAAAAAGAAAAAGAATGTAAAATATCTCACTAGCAATTTTTACAACGTTGATTACCTGTTGAAATGATACGTTGGCTACACTAAGTTAAAGAAAATATATCATTAAAATTAATGTCACCTACTTCTTACTACTTTTAAAATATGGCTGCTAGAAATCTTTAAGTTATGTATGTGGCTCACATTATAGTTCTATTGAATGGCACTGTTTTGGAGTGGTGGACAAGTTCTGTATCTTGGAGTGTTGACCAATGGGTGCATATGTTTGTTAAAGTTCGCCGAATTGTACATGTAAGATTTGTATGTTTTACTGTATGTAATGATACTATAAACCCCCATACCTTTCCACCAGTCTAACATAGCCTCCCTGAAGGAGTCTACAGCCTGCAAAGGACACAAAACACAAAGAACTCCCAAGAGGTAAGAGTTTCAATAAGGTTTGAGCAAGGTACTCTGCATTGATGGAAGCTTCCATTTTTAGGAACCGGAACGAAATCGCTGGTTTACGTGTGCTTGCGTGTGTGTAGAGAAAGCACGCAGACAATTATTGAGTCCAGTAGACTCAAGAAGACAGAGGACATTTTCAAAAGCCTGAAATACTTGGGATCAGGAGGCATTCATGCTGCAGGTTTTTCCCTTGGGCCACTTGGATGGGACCCCCAGGAAAAACACACAAGAGTCGGGAGGAGGGACTTGTTCAGGGTACTTGCCCCCTGGTGGGATCACTAAGCTACATACAAGGTCTGGATCTTAGCTTTCTAGGGTCAAACCCCTTGATAAATGGCAGGTACCAGCAATCGCTGCCAGAGGGTGAGGGAGAATCACAGAGAAACACTTCACCTAAGTATGAATGTTGTATGCTTCAACCACAGCCCTCTTGGGTTCAGAGGTCAGGTTCAAAGTCCTGTCTCCTTAGGAATCAGAGAACGTCTACAGAACTGTAGAGTGCTTCTCGTCTAAGTGGCCTGTTTTCCAAAGACCCTGAGGCCCAGAAAAGTGGAGTGACTTGCCTAAGCCATACTGAATTAGAAGTGGTAGGACATGTGCTTGCGGTCATCCAACTCCAAGCCGAGAAACACACGCATGCCAACCAGGTTCGAAAAATACACTTTGTCAGCTACAAACATGACTTGTTTATTTAGTAAGGGAGGGCAGCTGGCAAGATGGATTGCTGGCAACGAGTGAAATGACGTCCAGGGTTTTTGGTTTGTGCAGCAAGAATCAGGAAAAAGAAGAAAGTAACCCTTAATCCTAACACTCAGCAGAAGCACGGGCTTTCCTATCAACACACTGAGGGCAGCTCTACCTGGGTTTGGGCCGTTGGGCCAGTCCCTCCTCCCCTCCTGACGAGGCTGTTGAACTGTGGGCCTTGAGGTCACCACAGGAATGTGTGGGGCCATTGTTTTCCAAGTGGCATCTGTGCAATAATTCATCACTGCATTGAGCTAAAGCTCTCCTTGACACCGGGCTGTGGGTTAAGAATTTTCTTACATAACCTCATTATATCCTCACTGCAACAGAACACATTGGACAAGTCAAGGTGAACTTCAGTGACAAAGCGACCAGCTAGAAAGCAGTTCATTTGAACCCGGATCTGTCTGGCTCTAGAGTTTCTGTCTGTAGATTGAGTAGATAAAATAACCTTGGGGAGCTGAGGAGGGCTTCATACCCAGATTCAAGAGTTCAAGCGTAAGCAAGGTTCCATACAAGTCTGTAGGCTTCGTACTTCAAACTCAGGACAGTCCTCTTGCTGACGGGTGCAGGCCTCCCGAGGACACCTCCCCTAAGCCTATTTCTACAAATCAGATTCTCTCCTGCTTTGATTGACACCCATGGTGTAGCAGCACCCTTTCTGCCTTAAGTCAGCGAGTCTACAGACTTCCCCACAGATGCCTTTTAAGGCAAAGAACTCGGTGAAAACAAGTTTGTATCCACCACCGCTCCCTCCACAGTAGATTGTACACCTACTTGGTGCAAGGCAGGAGAGGATAACTAAAACCAATGTGTACCATTCACAGACGGCAATGGCTAAGCTTATAGTTCATTTTCTATTGTTTCATTTAGAGTGGAGGGCCCCCTTGTATAAGGGACACCATTATCCCTATCCCTTGCACAAGGATGTCATTACCAAATCACTTGTCAATCATCTTTGGGGAATGATGAGAAGAGTCAACCTTGTGTAATTACTATGGTTCCCATCCAAAACACTTCCTGGCTTAATACAATCCCCTCACGTAGGGGTAGCATTGCGTAGTTTCTGATAATGGTCCCTCTAATTACAGCCATCCCCTTGGCAGGGAGCCCGGGAAGGCCGCTTACTCTCTGCCCCAACCGTCGGCACCACGCCGGATCCTGAGAGGCCGGAGTCACCGCTCCCTCCGACTTTCCCAGCTCCACGTGCTCCCAACCCCCTCGATGAGCGCTTTTCAACCCTTTTCATCCCCCAGCACACATACACTAATTACTGAGATTCTGCGGCATCCCTCCCAAAAATCTTTTTTGCCGATCTGACGGAAAATAGGTATAATTTTGATTCCTTCCCACTGGACAGCTATTGTTGTATCGGCTGCTGTCATTTTTTTCATTTGACGATCTAAGGGAGAAAAGGGGTCAGTGCTCCTCACTGAATAGTCAGGTATTGCATCTTTCAAAAATTCGTGCAGCACACTGGCTGGAAATCGCTGCCCTAGATGGATGCAACAAGGCCCCCATTAGAGATTGGGAGGAGAAGCCTGTTCACCCCCAGTCCATCAAGGAATCAGTGTTGGATTGCTCCCTCCAAGACCCTCTGAAGCCCCAGAGTCGGGGCCTCCCTGGGGAAGGGGATGATATGGTGACAAGGGGAAGTCGCTGGTGGTTCAGGAGATCTGGAGAGCAATGGACAGCTTCTTATTTCATTCTGGGGAAAAGGGCTCTGGACAGCCCTGACTTTGATCGAGAGAGGAGTGTCCAGAAGATCCAAGGACTAGACTTGTGGCTAGGCAGAGACTACCATCTCGGCAACTGGCCAGGAGAGAGAAGCAGGTGCAAGAAAGAGGCCACCGAGAGGGGGATCCCCTCCTACTTTCAAATCGGTTGGAATCCCTACCCAGACATCATTGGAAGGTTCGCAGGGCCCACCCAATGGAAAGACTGAGAAGAACACACCTTTGTCAATACAAGTAGCATTAGTGTCAAGCTCACCATGCTTACTTAGGTTATGAGCCAAGGTTATACGGCAAATAGGCGGAGTGCCAGGGCTGTAACTCAAGAGGAGCCTTGATCTCTTCTAACAGGCAAAACTGGAAATCTGATAAATAACAGGCTTAGGTATTAGGTAGCAAGAAATTGGGCTGTAGGGGACCAGATCAGGAAGAGCAAAGGACAGAGGTCCAGGAATATGCACACCGCTTGACTTGGACCACTGAGTCACGGTCAGCTGGATTGATGTTTTTGCCTGCTAGACTGCAAGTCCCTGGAGGGCTGGGTCCCATGGCGTCCACGGCTGCAGCACCCACCAGGGGCTTTGGCACAAGCTTTAAGAATGTCTGTTGAATGATTGATATTCCTGAGGGTTTCTGAATGGGGAAGTGGGAGGGGAAGGGTTGGTGAGGAATTAGGCCAAAAGATTTCAAAATCTTCTCTCTCTAGACAAATAGAGTTTGTTTGTTCCTTTTTTTTATGATACGGAATTTCTCTGAGGCCTGGTGCCTTTGCCCAGAAATGGCAAGCCAATCGTAAGAGGGTGACCTGTTTGGTTCATACTCACAAAAAGTCAAAGGTCAGAAATGTTGCCAGGTATCCAGAGATGGCCTAATTTAGCATCACGGAACGTGTACACTTTGGGGGGGTAACAGTCCTTAGAGCCATCTCAGTATAAGAGGGCAGGCAGGGGTCCAGCGGTGGGGCCTGGAGGGGACAGGGAAGCACAGTGGTTGAGCTGGCCTAGAGAGGCCCTGGGAGTCGGGAGGGACCAGCTGGGAGATAGCCCCGCTCTCTGCGCCAGAATCTCACCTACGGACCAGGCTCGAGTCTGGGTTTCCCCAGAAAATTAGGCAGAGTGACCTCAAAGCAAGGTCAAAACATTGTGATCTTGGAATTTTAGCCAAAAGAGGAGTTTGTACCTCCCTCCAACCTCCACCACCCAATTATTATTATTTTTTTAAGCCAACCAGCTCTCTCAGATAAGAAGCTTCTTTGGGCTTCTCCTCCCTTTTCCATGCCCAGGCCCACACTCTGAGATCTGGTGTCCAAAACTGTGTCCTGACCCCAGGCTTAGTACCTGGCACAGCTGAGTGGCAGGACAGATTCAGTGGTGCCCATGTTTCCCAGGTGCTGAAGGCAAACACCACCACCACTGAATGCATCCGGGGAAGCCCAGCTCTGCTTAAGCAACACTCTTTCCCAGGAGCAATCTGACGGGCAGGCAGCGTGACTTATTGTTACTTATGAGCATCCTCCACCTTCGAGCCCCCACCCAACCCTTCACACCGAAGACAAAGGAAAATAGGCCCAGTAAGTTGCACGGCTCAAAAGCAGTGTATGTCAGTCGGTAATGAGGAGAGGGGAGACTGCTGAGTTTAGTGCCCTGGGATGGGCAGGACCCCGGTGAAAATCGGCAAGTTTATCCCTGAAGGGGGTCCACCTCAGGAGCAGTGCCCTGGGGACAGAGCCGAGGCCTTGCCCCTGCCCTTCTCCCTCAAGGTAGACTGCTAAAGGCCCATCCATGCTCCTGGCGCTCTGCCAGCCCAAGAACCTAAGAATCTCGAGTCCCGCACCAGAACCCGGAATCAGTGAAGGGTAGGCAGCGGCCAGCCGGTGGCTTGCCGGCCACCAGCCAAGTCCCAATCTGCAACAATTGGACCACTATTTCCTGTTGCCTATGTGCTAGGTGCAGCGTACCTGCTCCCCCGAGGGCCACCCAGAGGTGCAGCAGCTGCAGGACTCCCAGCCAGAGTGGGATCGGCCCCCAACGAAGTCCTGCAGGAACCACCCCGACCCCCCACTCCCGGAGACTGGCCAGACCCCTCTCTTCCTCGGTCTCCGTACCTGAGGGGACGGACGCCCCGAAACCTTGCTTCCTGCCAACCCCGAGAGAGGACGGTGCGCGTTGCTAGCACCCCGCGGGGACCGGCGCACAGCCACCAGACGCGCAGCATCCCGACGCAGACAGCCATGGCTCACTACGCCAGTGTCCCGGCCGAAGAAAACTTTTAAAGACAGCCAAGGGGGGTGGCCAGCGCGGAGCACGCGGGCGAATAGGGGCGTGGCGGGGCGTGGCGGGGAGAAATCGGCTCCGAGTCTCGCCACCTTTGTTTGCGGACCACGGACCGCGGTCCTCCCCCTCCCACCCTCGAAGGATTGCCCTGATTTCTCTCTGGATTCGAGAGCCCCTGGCTGCAGCCCAAGGCAGGCTCCCCTCCCAGACTCCAGGGACCTGGGTTTTGAGGCTCAGGATCTTGTTGACTTCTGTACAGGGAAGCCAGTAGAGCGTGAATGCGGGGCGGTGGTGAAACACCCCTTCCTGAGACCGTGACCAGTTTAGCGAGCGGGTCACGTGCTGTCACCTCCCCCACCAACTTCCACCCCGCCCCCAGGACTGGGCTCCTAGGGCCTGCCAGCTGAATCAGAGAGCAGAGAAGGGGTGGGGATGGGAGGGCGCTGGGACAGCGGCAGAGGCCCCACTTGAGTTTCAGATGGGAGGCCAGCCTATCTCCCATAGGGCCGCCTGCCATCCCTCTTCCTGGGCCTCTGCCTTATCTTCCCACCTGCACAGGCAGGTAGGTGGCCTCAAGGCACACTGCAACCTTTGCTTCACTGTCTCTCCCCTGCCCACCGCTCAGTCTCTGAGCTGCCGCAGGTGTGAATGCAAAGCAAGCTCACTCTAACTCCAGACCCCCTTCATGGTCCTCCGAGCTGAGGTGTGGCTGCAGGATGGAGAGGTGACTGCCCATCTCTGGTCCTGGCTGGCAAAGGTGGCACTGGGACACCAGAGTAGCACGTGCACCAGGCCCACACTGTCTGTCTCCAGCCTTGACCCTTTCTCCAGAAGGGTGAGGGAGAGCAATAGGAGAAAGGCCTGGCAGGGTGACCTCCTTTTTCGTGACCCAGAGGTGGTGACAAAAGCTGGGCCAGACAGAAGTGACAGCTCAGTGTGGGGTCTGGCCTGAGAAGACTTCAGCTGTTATCGGGGAACTTTGACTCAAATGGGAAGGAGGCTATGCTGCTTACCTTTATGACTCTGGGAGGAACCTCCAGCCCCGCTGGGGCCCAGGCTCTCCGGGAGAGTCGGGAGAGTCCAGACTTCACATTGTGTGGGGAGGGAGCTGAGAGGGAGACAGGGGAGCAGAGCAATCATGAGGAGCTCCGCTTGTAAGCCTGCACCGTCCTGGTGAGACCAACTCACTGCATCTGACAGCCCAGCCCAGGCACGTGGGGCGAGGGTGAGTGCCCCAAGTCCGGGGTATCAACCTGCCTAGCACGTCCTGCCACTGGCTTGCTGGGTGACCCTGGGTAATTCGTGGCCCCTCTCTGGGCCTGTGAAGTGAGGGGTGGGTACTGATCTTGGAGGCCCTTCCACTTACCTTGCTAGTTTGAGGGCCATTCTTGGGGAACGAGGGGGCTGAGTTCATCCTCTCCACATACTGGATTTGTTCTGCCTTCCCAGACTCACATGCGTGGAATCACAGCCGTTGGTTTCAGGATACTTCCCACAAGTCAGACGCTTCAAGGATGTTTTTTCTGGCCCACACAATCACCCTACAAGGAACAGGCATGCCTTGGAATTTGTATGTGCTTTAACGGGTGAAGAAACTGAGATTGAGAGAGGTTCAGTGACTCGCCCCAGGCCAAAGTGAGCATGGGAAGCACAGGCCAAGGCTCTGCCGAGCCTCACTCTGTGGCTTTGGGGACATCGTGGAGCCTCGCCAGCCTTCGTTGTCGTCTTCAAGACAGGGGCAATGGTGTCAGCCTCGTGCAGAGGGTTGGGGTACGGTGCCAGTGGACTCGGCCAGTTTTCAGTGACTGTTAGTTTCTTCCGCCATCCTCTCCCTCCTCCTATAGCTATGCTTTGAGTTGTTCCTCTGTGTTAGGTGTTGCAAACCTTTTTTTAGGAGGAGAAATGATTTTCCATCTCTGCATAGCTGTGAGAGTCCTGGTAGATATGGCTCAATGGGAGGGGAAGGCTGGGAGAAAGGATAGCGAAGACCTGATGTGGAAGTCCCCGAGCCTTGGTTTTAGATGTTGAACAGAATTCTCAGGTCACTTTGAAGATGTGGGAAACAGGGCACATGGGTCGTCCGGGCCCTTCAACTTTCTCCCTCTTCCATCAACCAAATCTGTTTCTCATAGCTCCCCGGGGTGCTTTCTGCCTGAACCCAGCATGTTTGCTGTGCGCTGGGCAGGACTCACACAGTTCATGGTCCTTGTGGTTTTGTGAGAGAGAAACATCCATTGTTGCCTCTCGCACATGCCCTGACGGGGACTGAACCCACAGCCCAGGCATGTGCCCTGACCGGGAATCACACCCACGACCCTCCAGTCCCTGTGATGACGCTCCAACCACCTGAGCCACATTGGCCAGGGCTGATTGTTTTTAATTCTTATTATCAACCTATGAAAAAAGTCCAGATGACTTCCTTGTACAATAGTTAGGAAACTGTAAATGCTAGGAATCTGGAAGTCACACCCGGCTGCGGTTGGGAGATAAGGGGCAGGAGACGGGGAGTGGAGGTAAATATCCTGACCTTCCAAATCAAGGGGCCAAGAGATCCTGTCTACCAAGGATGGAACGTGAAATAAAGGAATATGTTATTCAAAGTTGCAAAGGCAACGAGCGTATATACAAAGTAACAAGAAAACTATTCAGGAGGACTTGGGGAGACGAAAGTGCAAATCTTTACCTATCAAACAGAAAAACCAAGACATGGCTGAATAAGTATATTGTTTAGAAGTAAATAACAAGATAAAACAGAAATGGCTAAAATAGTTCAAAATGGTTCCCTTTGGACTTGAGTAGACATTTCTCCAAAGAAGGTACACAGATGGCCAGTGAACACGTGAAAAGAAGCTCAACATGCCCAGTCACTAGGGAAGTGCGAATCCAAACCGCAGACACCACCTCACACCCACTAGGACGGCTGTTCGGAAGGACAGAAAACAACAAACGGGGGTGAGGATGTGGAGAAATGGGGGCGCTTGTGCACTGTGTCGGTGGGAGTGTGGAATGGTACAGCTGCAGTGGAACACAGCATGGCCATTCCTTAAAAAATTATAAACAGAATTCACCACCCGATCTAGCAATTCCGCTTTGGGGCATGGACCTGAAAGAATTGAAGGCAGGAACTCACGCAGACATTTGTACAACAACATTCGTAGCAGTGCTATTGACAGCAGACGACAAATAGCCCTGGCCCGGTAGCTCAGTTGGTTACAGCATCGTCCCGATAAGCCAAGGTTGCAGGTTCGATCTCCGGTCAGAGCACACACAAGAATCAACCAGTGAATGCAATGTTTTTCTCTTTCTCATCTTTCCTCTCTCTAAAATTAATAAAAATAAAAATAAAATGAAATGAAATGAAATGAAATGAAAGACAGCCCTGGCTGGTGTAGCTCAGTGGATTGAGCACTGGCTTGCAGTCCAAAATGTTGCCAATTTGATTCCCAGTCAGGGCATATAGACAGGTCTGCGGGCCGGGTCCTCAGTTGCAGGCACGTGAGAGGCAACCAATCAATGTTTCTCTTTTTCTCTTTCTCTCTACTTTCCTGTCTCTCTGAAAAAAAAAAAAAGAAAGAAAAGAAAGAAAAGACAAACAATCCAGGTGCTCTTCAATGAATGGATAAACAAAATATGGTATACAGGGCAGGGCAAAAGTAGGTTTACAGTTGTATGTGAAACACAGTTTATTCTTGTATCATTATGTATTAATTATTGTGTTATTTTCTTTTTTAAAAAAGACTTTATTTATTTTTAGACAGAGGGCAAGGGAGGGAGAGTGGGAAGAGAAATATCACTGTGTGGTTGCCTCTTGCACGCCCCCTACTGGGGACTTGGCCTGCAACCCAAGCATGTGCCCTGACTGCGAATCAAACTGGCAACCCTTTGGTCCACAGGTTGGCACTCAATCCACTGAGCCACACTAGCCCAGGCTAATTGTTGTGTTATTTTCAATATGAAGAACTGCAAACCTCCCTTTGCCCCATCCTGTATACAAACAATAGAATATTACTCAGCCTTAGAAAGGAAGACAATCCTGACTTCTGCTACAACAGCGATGATCTTTGAAAGCATTGTGACACGAAAGTGAAATAAGCCAGAGAGAAAAGAACGAACGTATCATCTGGTCCCACTCCCACGAGGGAGCTAGAACAGCCACATTCGCAGAGACAGGCGGCAGGGGCTGCCGGGAGGGCGAGTGGGGACTCACAGCTGTGTGTGTGTGTGTGTGTGTGTGTGTGTGTGTGTGTGTGTGTGTGTGTGTGCGCGCGCGCATGCGCGCAGAGTTTTAGTTTGCAAGGACAGAGTTGTTCTGGAGCTGGCTGGTTGCACAACAGTGTGAAGGTACTGAATGCCACTGAACTGTATGCAGAAGATGTTTTAAATGATAAATTTTTCTTATGTCTGTTTGACCTCAGTAACAGAAAATGGCTCTCTAAACAGAGCTAGGGAAGTGTCTCGGCAAGCACCACGGACTGCGTGCCAGGACCAGTGGGTTTAGTGAGGTTCCTGCCCTAAAGCAGCGAAGGCAGAAGCTCCCGCGTGCCTGCAGTCAGTCTCGGACTCAGGTCTAGGAAGAGCCCGGCTCCGCTCCTCTTTCTCTCAATGACCTTCAACAAATGTCCTCCCTCCGATCCGATTTTTCATAGCTCTGTTGTAATCGACTGTTTCTAAGTAGTTTATGAAAAACATCCCTTTTATTTTTATAAGTTTTGTTTAAGATTTTATTTTATTTATTTTTAGAGAGGGAAGGGAGGGAGAAAGAGAGAGAGAGAGAGAGAGAGAAACATCAGTGTGCGGTTGCTGGGGGTCATGGCCTGCAACCCAGGCATGTGCCCTGACTGGGAATCGAACCTGCGACACTTTGGTTCACAGCCCACGCTCAATCCACTGAGCTACACCAGCCAGGGCTTATTTTTTATAAGTTTTTTAAAGTTGGTTTTTTGAAATAAAGACAGAGAGAAACATTGATTTGTTGTTCCACTTATTTATGCATTCACTG